TTTTTTTTTTTTTTTTTTTTTTATAGTTTGCATATTGAGTTAGACTAGAGCATGAAGATGAAGGTTGATTTAAAAAAGGATGAAATGTGAAGGCACTTTTAATTATTTTTCTCTTATTTTTTATGAATATTTTTAAGTGTTAAAAGTTATTTTCAAAACGAACAAAGCTTTATATCATATTTAAATTATTAAAAATAATTGAATTGTGTATTTGAGATAGCAAAAACTGTTTAATACGAAACATTTTTGGTCATTATCAGCTTTACAAGGATATTGTTAAAAAGTTAATGCTGTGTTAGAAATTTTTATGGTTATTTTAGTTTCTGATTATTGATTTATCCTCAAATATAACTTTCTAGTAATTACAAATAAACGAACTACATATATTATTGGACTAATTCCTCGAACGTTTATAGAGATTTTATTGAAAAAGGAATTCTCTATATTAAAACTTCCTTGCTTATTTTTATAAGTGTCTTCTTTGTAACCTAATTATAGACTTTTCCTAGTATTAAAATGAAATAAAAGCAGAAAAAAAATGTTTTTAATGATAGTGTAGACGTACAGATAAAATAAACGTGTTAAATTACATAATCTATGACTTAAGAAACTTCAGAGTTAGAAAGAATGTTATTCATTCACTACATTTAAAGTCATTCTTAATAAGATAAAGTTCTGTTGCTATAATAAGATAAAATTGATAATATACGTACATTTTTTCTAGTTGAAATCAAACTTTAAAATAAATGAACATGTTAAAAGGAAGGAAAAGAAAATATTAGATTAAGACGTCTGTCGATCTATAAAAATCGATTCATTCGTGAGCCATTAAAAGAGAATGCGATAGTTTCTTCTTTAATAATAAATTCAGTAGAGTTTAAAACACATTTAATCTTGACAGGAACTTCTTTACATCATTAAACTTTATGAAATTTATAATTTCACAGTAGGCCTACATATGAATATTTAATAAGTTACTTTCAATATTAATTTAATATAAAATTTCAAAAATATATATATGTATAAATAATTATAAAAGTTTTGACGTTCATTAAAAAGTTAAAGTAAATATTTAGTAGTCTGTAATATAAGATTTTAAGTTATAACAGTATAAATCTTTTATGAAACTTTAACTTGAAAGGATATTGCTCAATGTCTTTGTATAGTGAACATTATCGATTTTTCTTTTAAATTTAAAATTCTTAAATTCCTTTACACTTTCTAAATATTTATTAATTATAAATTTGAAGCAAGAATATAGCTCGCAGCTTTTAAATAAATGAATAAATAGCTTATAAATTGAACAATATTTGAATGAATTGCTCATTCATAATAAATTATTTGTAAAAATCATTTAAAGACTTTTTAAATAATTAAAGCCATTTTATTTTTATTTTATTTAAACTGATATATTTTTTAAAAAATAAATCTAAATTAATTAAAGATAAAATTTAATTTAATTTTTTGATTTTCTTAAAAATACATGAAATTTTATAAAGTTATTATATCAGAAATCATTAAATTATAATAACTATAAAGTTAAAAGCATTTCTATGTTAGTTATATCCAATTATTAGAACGGCTTATATAATATTTCCTGGAGTAACTAAATAAAATTTTTGAATAGGAAGTTCTTTCTATATATATATATACAGATTTTTATTTATTAAACTGGAATAAAGTTTTCCAGTTTTTGAATCTTTAAAAATAGTTTTATAAAGGAAATATTTATATTATATTAACCTACAGTTAAAATGTTTTATATAAAAAATGATAAGCCACTATTTTAAAATAAACTTTTATAACTTAAGTTTCTTTTTATAAAGTTTAATTGCTTCAAAAAACTACTTCAAATAAGTTTACGATCAACTTAAATTTACTGTTTTAATACGTCTTGATGAACGTCGTGTAAGACACGATTCTGAAGGAATGACGATCATTAGCTGGTAATAATTTTGTCTTCGGTATATTTTGTTGACAAGTTCATTTTTCAAGGATTGGAAGACATATATATACAATTAAAAAATGATTATAATGATAAAAAAAAAGATCAGAGAATAACACGTAATTAGATA